AGCTAATATGAATATTAATCACTTTTTGATATATTTAGTTTTCTTGCAATTGATGAAAGAGATAATGAGTTAGTGGCTGAAGCCAAAAGTTTACCAGGCCAAAGAATAGTCCCAGTTACTACTACTGCTTATTCAGCTTATCCAGCTCCTACTTCAGCTGCTTATTACTCAAAATCAGCTGCTTATTATTCACCTCCTCCTCCCCCAGCTGCTAACTTTTATTCAGATGCTCCGCCAGCCGCACAATCTCCTTCAGCTGCTAATTATTTCTTTTCTCCTGCGACTCGTAAAGCCTCTCCACATTCTTATTCTTATGAATCCATGAATTGTAAGTAATATATTATTATAATCCAAAAGCAATTCAATATAATGTATAATTTGTTAATGCTACTGGGTTCTTCTTATGGATTAGTACCTCAATATCCAGGAGGTAGTGATTCTGTTATGCAGGCTGCTAGTGCATCAAAAATATCCAAAGCAGCATCAATGCTTTCTAATAGAAGTCGACTGTCTCATCAGTCTCTCTCTATGTCTTCGAATGAAATTTTTGTCGGTACACAACCAGGTTTTAGTGATAATATTTTATACGGTGGAACTTTTGATAATATTGTATGCGGTGCACCGCTAAGTTCTTATGATACAGGTCTACTGTCTCTTCAGTCGCACTCTATGGCTTTGAATAACTCTACATACGAAATTAATAATTCTTTTGAACACGTTTTAACAGCTATTTCTGTAAAATCAAAGCCTCCAAAGATTGAAACTCTTTATGATTTTCTCAAATTTCAATCATTTGATGGTTCATTTTTACCATCTTCAAAATTTTATTCTTGGTTTGGTAAAAAAGATTTTAAAGATTTTGAAGTTATTGGAGTTGAAAATGAAAAAATGTTATGTTTGGCATTAGCAATGGTATATTTGGAAATTATATTGTTTGAAACATTTAAAGATGAATGTGAGATGTGTTATGAAAAAGCTAAAAAAGCTTTGAAAAAAGAGGTTGGTGATGATGAGCAAAAGATTATTGAGATTTTGAAAAATGTTAAAGAATGGGTTAAAAATTGGGCTGATGAATAATTCCTTAGTATGGGTAATTTTCACTTTTGATACATTACTAGTTAAAAAGTTTATAATTAATATTTTATCTAATTATTGCTATTTAAGACTAAGCTTTTGGGATTGCATATATTATAATATTAATGGGGTATCCGTTAGCTGTACTAAATTTAGTACAAAAGACTTAATTTAGTACAGATTTAAAAAACCAAAAGCATGATCGATTGTCACCTGAAATTTATATAATATATTAATACCTATAGAGTCTACTGGCACAATTTGAATGCCCCTTGTAAATGTGAGTCACGCAGTAATGCATCATATGTGCGTGCATATCCAGATTAAACCTGTATTGTAAATCGATCATAAACTTGACTATTAAAACCTCATATTTCGCTATATAAGTCATTTTAAGAAGCTATTCAGCATTTTTTAACACTTAAAATATGTTTTTCTTTTGAAAAAATAAATATGTGAGCCTTGTTATTATTCATTTGTTTAGTTTTTATTTTATTTTATTATGTATATGCTTTAAATCATAAAACTAAAGTATTTTTAAACTTACCAGATTATACAATCTAGGTTGATGACTAGTTGACACTTGTTATATCAAGCTCAAAAATATATTACAAGTTATGGTCAAAAGATGTGAGTTGAATTAATAATTTTATCAAATTATAAAAGGTATATACTGTATTGATATTATTTATTAATTATCATTTTTTCAAAAATTCATATAAATTTAAATTTTTTATATAGAGTGTGGCAACTTAGTAAAGTTGTTAAGTTGTTGCACCTCCAAGCAGCAGGGCAAGAGTTCAAATTCTACTGGTGACAAAATTTGAATTTTTACAGAATATGTTACAGCAGACTGTGTATAATTTGATGGATTATTGAATTTGTAGCTTTGGTTGTACCAGCTTGTACTGGGAGGCTGTAAAACATTTAGTGTAATGCATGAGTTACATGAAATCTGAGTGATGCAGCCAGATAAATTCAAAGGCTGGGGCACATAGAAGCCTGCTTGGCAAGTTCTGAATAAAGAGGTAATGCAGACTTTTGACGGTGCTATTTAAAGAATTATCAACCAAAAAACCAGAAACTGAACAGGACCAAGGTGTTTAGCAAGGCACAATACCAACTAGGCCACTGGTGTATTTCAGGAAAGAGGTCTGCCCTTTCAAACTATCTAGATTAGGAGTTTGAAAAACTGAAAAAATGGAGATGGTCTGTAAAGTAGGTGCTGGGGTTTGGGTGAACTCTACTAGAGTAGAAGTAGGTAATGGTAGCAGCTTCAGCTTGCAAGTATTCATTCTTGGATTTAGCATAAGTTACTGAAAGTCTAGGTTAGCCAGATTGTGGGTATAGAAAGCTCTAGCAACAATGCCTCAAGTATAAATTAGTTTTAAGGTTATGGCAAGCATCTGAGACTTCTTGACTGACAAATGTAACAGTTATGTCCTGGTGATACAAGTAGGTTGTGTATGTTACAGAGGGTTTAAATAGATAATCCCTAGTTGAGTTACAGATAAAGCAAATAATGTAGTTCTTATAGTATACTGTTACAGACTACTTAAATAGGCAATCAAAAGTCATGTGTATAATTAGTTATATTCTCTAATATAATTAAGGTTCCATTGTGGGCCTTCCACCTAGTATACTTGAATAAAACCCTCATGCCAAAAAAAAAATTCTTTATATTATTATTATATAGTATTGAGATAGTACTTTACTTTGAATAGCAATACAATATCTTTATAATTTTAATATTGTATGATGTAATTATCTGATTTTGAGATTTTTAATAATTAATTAATATAAGAGAGTGCAAAGATTTATTTTATAATTTTTTTTGTATATCTCTAAATTTTTTTCTTATAAAATTATAAATTTTTAAAAGCATATTCATTTATTATTTAGTATATATTTGATATATTTATATAAGTAATATTACAAATTTCAAGCAAAATAATTATTGGAGAATAGGTAGTTGCAAAGCAACAATATTACTGAAAAATATTATTTTACAATACATATCACAAAGTGATAAAGATTTAAAAAACTTATGTCTTTATGATTTGGTTGTTGGAGAATTAGTTGGAATACCTTGAATATTTCAAATAAAGTTTGAAGAAATTGGAAATGGAAAATTAATTGTAAACATTTATACTGAAAATTTAAAACATAAAAAACAAGCATCTTCAAATCATATAGTTGAGGTTTTAGAGTCTTCAGTAACTCAAAAAATCCTATTAAATCTAGTGAAAGTAGCTTAAAAGAGAATAGTGATAGTGATACTGATATGATAGATCTTACTACAACAATAAAATAGAAAGAATAGCTAATAACTATTGATCAATATGCAATTCACTTAACTTATAATCAGACATATAAAATTAATATTGTATTAGTTAGTTTAGCTTCACCTTATACTGTATTTCATTAATATCTTCCTATAAATTATATCAAACAAAATATTATTAAATCTATTAATTTATGTGGAAGAAATAATTCAAATTAGATGAATATAAATATTAACAAATACATGATCTAGTTAGGACTTTGGGTATTAATGTCTATTGTTTCTATAAGCGATCACTGTTTTTATTAGAGAACTCAAGAGAATACACAATCTCTATTACCATTTAATTTTCAATGTTGGATAAGTATTCTACAATTTGAACAAATAGTGTCACTTCATACATTAATGATGCCAAATGAATTAAAAATATCTAATCATAAAAATTTATTATTTTCAGTTCATAGTTTGTTAATGCATATAATGCAAACCAAATTGAAACTGTAATTTCTAGAAGTATATTATGTATTGATGAGTTAATAAACTCATAGTTAGATACTAAAAACAAAATACAAGATCACTACAAAATATCATGAAAACCACACTCTGTTAGACAAGAATAGAAGACTTTTGCTGATAGTTTAATAAATATTATTATTCTTTTTTTTTTTGGTATTAAGATGAGGCCTTGCTCATATCTTTATTAATAATTTTATTGGGTAATAGTAACCACTAATTAAATAATCAACTAATGTAAATATTACTACAATTTGTAAAAGTACAAATAAAATAAAACTAAATAGTAAGAATAAAAGCTCAGACTAATTTATCTGTGACCTAAACCTACTAGAGTAGTTCTGGGCTCACCTAGATTGTAATAGAGGAAATATAATTAATTAAAGTACTATATTTAATCCAGTAAACAGACCAAGTATCAAATTTCCTCCTAGTCTAGCCAATAGGTGGACAGATATTAAAATAAATGTGTAATTGATCTGGTTCTCCATATAGACAAGAATAAGTATATATTATACAAATATGTTGAGTTAAGGTAGTAGATTGTGTTGAACTTGAAGAATTAGATTGTTGTTCAAAGCTAAAAGATTTGGATTGTATAGAAGGACTTGGATTATTGAAGTATAGATAGTGAAGTTTATTGAGCTTTTTCTAGTTAGAGAAGTTAGAATAATAGAGTTTCTATAATTGTTCATATAATTGGTTATTTATTTTAAGTAATATATTAATTATTGCTTAAGAAGCAGTCTTGTAAGAGATATCATAGTTTTGAATAGATTTAATTAAAGATATAGGGATTAAACCTTTGAGTATAATATCCAAGTATTATGAGTATGGTTGAAAAGCAAATAGATGAAATGCTTCATGATTGTGAATTTTGTTAATAAGTTCCTCTAGCTAATTATTTGAAAGATCTAGTTCTACTGATCTGAGATACTGTGTAGTAGTATTAGTAATAATTTGATAAATTACTTCAGGGTTTTGGCAACTATATCAATGTAAAGGTGAATCTGGTAAATTGCAGTAGAAGAGTTAATATTTGAAAGATTCTAGGATATTGTGAATGGTAAAGATGGTAGGTTGGTAGTTCATTAAGTAAAATTTTGATTTTAAAGAATTTGAGTTGATTAAGCTTAAAGTTTGTAATATTAGAAGTAGATTTTTGGTTGTAGTTAAAGTATAACCAAGTGGCTCTCCAATCGATTTGATGGTTAAGTAAAGACTACTTATTATTTCAGTTTTAAAATGACTACATTGCCAGAATTTGGGCTTTATATATCTTTTTAACAAATAAATAGGTAGAAAGTTTAACAAAATATTGCTTATTTCCCTACTGAAATATATAATAAGGGTTGTAGGTGTTGTTATAATTAATAAGAAGTAATGTGTCTAATATATGTTGTTTAGCTAATAAGTCAGCTAAGTTATTAAAGCATTATCTGAATGAGCTAAAATATTAATAAATATGATTTCTAATTTGTATGAAGAAATAATATTAAGGAGTGTATATCATAGAGATTATGCATTAAATTTAAGAAGTTTGTTGAGGTTAATAAAAGAGAAATTAAGTTTGGTGTATTTGGATATAATTGATTAAAAGTTTGTATATATATTAATTATAAAATTACAAGGAGTTGTAAAAATGGCAGACAGTATAAAAAAAGTTCAGCTTTATAAAAAGATGGCTAGAGATGAATTTGAGCTGAGAATTTATGAATAATTTGATCATTATTGTTTACTTAGACCTATTCTATACCTATTAAGTACTGTCCAGTACTAATATTAATTACTGAACCATTGGTATAGAAGTTAAAATTGTCTTTGGATAGAGTTTTGAACAAAGATGTCTTCTAATTTAGCTATCTTTTCATTAGTTTTAAAAATTGTAAAAATTGTAGAGTTACTAATAGGAATAGAATTAGGAAGAGGTAATGGAGAGTCTGAAGGTAAAAATTTTACTGTAGTAGAAAAAAGGAGGTCCATATAATTGAAGTTTGATTTAAGATTATTATTAAAAAGTCTGCCAAAGAACTGAGCAGAAGTGATTTTGGATATATTGATTATACATACAGTTTGTAGTCTATTAGAGTTAAGATAACATCCTATGCAGAGATGACAATTAATAGATAGTAATGGGTAGCATCTAGTAATATTTGTATTAATATTAGTTTGCCAATATGTAATTGAATATTGGTTTGATTTTGGTGTAAATATGCAAATTTTGCCTAAAATGATTTCATTATCATTAAAGGTAATTAGCTATAGTTTAAATTTTTTTGGAATGTTATATGTATTATATGCAAATAGATTTGTTCCCTGTTGTTGATATTGTATAAGTAAAGTGTGACTATGTTTATCTTCAATAATTATATCTTCAAGTATAGTAAACTATAAAGGTTTTTGCCTTTTGGTAAAAATTGTAGTCTTGGTAAGAGATGTTGCTATTCTAAGAGACTGACACTATTACAGGTGCAAAGTTGTTCTAAGTAAAGTATTTGTAAATTTTTAAGTTGTTTCTTGAAGGTTGTATAATTGGAATGATTATGGAGAATTTTTTTTAAAGATTGTAAATTGTGTGAGATTGTATTAGGCTACAAGGTATCAGCATTAGCTATAATAGAAACTCCAAAATATAAGAATAATTGAATAGTTTTAAAATTTAATGTAAATCTGTTAGCACTATTGACTATTGCTTGAAGATGTTGCAGTATATTAGTAGTTGACTATATATTATTTTGTAGTTGTTGGAATTTAATTCGTGTAATAATTCCTAAAAGATTAAGATTGTTAATATATTGATAAAAGTTGGTAATGTGGTTTTGGAGTTGAATATTCCAAATGTTATGAATATTGGTTAAGCATAGTACTATTTGGAATAAATCTTGATAAGTTAGATTTTGTTTAGCTACAGTAAGATATTTAGCTAGAATATTATCATATATCAAATATGATAATATAATATTGTGTATTCTATATTCTAATATAGGAATAATAACTGTATTAATAATATAAGTAATTTGCTTATTTGTTTTTTTTTAGTACTAGCTGTGTAGATAAGTTGAAATATTTTATTTTTTTAATTAGTTTGATTTGTTGAGTATGTTTATTATCAAGTGTAAACCAACATCCAATATATTTAAATGGTTAATTAGTTGGAATGGATTGAAGTGTGGAGTTAAAGAAGAATATTGATGTTGGTTTAGTGTTTGTAGCAAAAATAGATTTGAAGGGGTTTATTTAAAAATTTGCCATTTGATAAAAGGATGTAGCTGTTTGAGTGATTAGTTCAAGTTGCTCTTTTGAGTTAGCAATCCAAAGTATATTATCTATATAGGCTAATACAGATATAGAAGCTTTTAATTGTTCTTGTGTAAGATGTGTAAGTTGAGTTTTTTAGGAAGTTGATAGGGTATAACCATTAAAGCTGTTGGCAATTTTGTGAATAAGTGGATCATAATAGATTCTCTAAAAGAGTGGTGTAATAGTTTCATCTTAGTTAATACTATTTTTAATAAGATAAAGGCTAGTAAGTCCAAAGTTTGTAATAACTCTGTTGGGACAGTTTAGAAGTAAGTTAGTTAGAATCTTTATAAGTTTGGTTGACATATTGATGTGTATAAGAGATTTTTCAAAGAGATTTATATTAACTAAATCATATTTTTTGCTCATATCCTGAGATATGAGTCAAAGTTGTTTAGAGTTACATAAAGCATCTTCAATAATGTTGTTAAGAATATGAATTGAAATTGCTGTGCAATTACCAGGAAGTGCAATATAGTTATAAGGAGAAAGTATTTGGTAGTTGGTAAAAATTTTGTTAAAGTGGTTGGTAAGGAGTTTAGTATAAAGTTTTTTGATTTGTTTGAGGAGGCTTATAGGTCTGATATTAGTTAGATAACTATCAAAAATTGGTTTCTTAGAAATTGGGTAGATTCTATTTTCTTTTTATTGTTTAGGTATGTTGTTGGTGATTATGTATCTATTAAATAATGCAGTAATGGCTAAGAGAAAGGAGTGACCTGCATGTTTTAACATTTCATAGCTAATACCTGAAGGACCATATGCTTTGTTATTTGGAAGTTGAGAGTGAGTTGTTAAGATTTTATCAATTGTGAATTCTTCAAGTACACTATTGTACCACTCTTGGTTAATATTAGGATTAGGATTATATTTGTCTTGTTATGTGGAATTATATATTTGTTGATTAGTAGGTCTGTAATCTGTTCATTTATCAAAATGTTGCTGGATATGAGTTTTAATCTCAAATGTATCAGTGATAACATCATTATCAGTTTTAATATTACTAGATCTTTGTGACAATTAAGAATACTGTTAATTATAGCTTTGAATTTGATTGTAGTTTGTCACATCTTTTGATAATACTGTCCTAAATTTGGTGCTGAATTTTTTTAATATTTTTGATATTGTGTGCATGATACAACACTTTCCATTCAGTATTGT